ACAAAAGAGTATTCCTGGAATGCTGGGAAAACAAAGCGGCCTTGGGGAACCAGGGGCGGAAACTGAGGAAATGTCCTTTAATCTTTAAATTTACTCCAAGAGATAGCTGATATTGGCTTTTGCTGACCACAAAGGCACTTTATACTCTGGTGTTTTCTACTCATGTTGAAAGCATTGTACCTCAGGATAGTCAAAATCACGGAAGCATGATTTTCAATACTTCAGGGTTGTGGCATCTACACACTTCCAAGAACCGCCTCTTTTCCTGCTCCACTCATAACTGAAAACCAAGACTAAAGTTATGGTTTTCTGTTGTGTTTAAAGGTCCATGGATGAGGTGTTCTACAATAGAAGGGGGCTGTCATTGAGAGCCGTGGCAGCCGGCTGTCGCATTCTGGATCTGGCAGCGTAGGGTAGTGGACAGCGCACTGGTCTATGCAGCGGGGGACCTGCAGTCTGGCTGTAGTCACGTTATCGCGGATGGGTGACTACACCTGTGAAAGGTGGTCTCACTGGTTTCCTCCAGTTATCTTTTTTTTTTTTTTTTAGATTTTATTTACTTATTTGACAGTGAGAGAGAGAAGGCACACAAGCAGTGGGAGCAGCAGGGGAGAGAGAGAAGCAGAGGAGGGAGCCTAACACAGGGCTCGATACTGGGCTTGATCCCAGGACCCTGGGACTGTGACCTGAGCCAAAGGCAGCCACTTAACTGACTGAGCCACCCATATGCCTTCTTCTAGTTATTTTGACAGGAATCTAATTTCAGTTTGGGCCGCACCCTCAGATAAGAAACTTAAAGATTGGGCTCCTAATTTTCACTCAGACTTGGAACTCTGGGGGTACAAAATGTGGTCCTCTTGCGTTTTTTCCATAATGATAAAGTGGAGAACAGAGGAAAGGTTTATTACAAGCCTATTATGATTCACACTTTGGAAGACAATTTAAAAATGACAGTTTTAAAACAAACAAAAAGCAGAAAGAGACTCATAAATACAGAAACTGATCTAACCAGGGGGAATGGGGTAGGGGGAAGGGGCAAAATGGGGGAAGGGGAGGGGGATGTTTAGGCTTCTAGTTATGGAATTAGTAAGTCATGGGAATAAAAGATATAGTCTAGGGAACCCTGTCAGTGGCACTGTAATGGCATTGCACGGTGACAGATGAGAGCTGCACTTGTGGGGAGCAGAGCATAATAATAACGTACAGAGAAGTTGAATCACTATGTTGTACACCTGAAACTAAAGTAGCATTGTGTGTCAGCTCTACTTCTGTAAAAAAATAAATAAAAAAAATGATGTTTTTAGTCTCATAATTATCGATTTCCTAAGTGACTAGCTTCTTAATGGCTTCTTGTTTCTTTCTGGGGGCTTTTGTGGTATGGCTTCCAAAAAGGTTACCTTAGTGAATACATGTAAAAAAAATCTTGAAGTAGCAAAAGTTATGCTACAACGGGTGAGCAAATAATTCTATCTACTTTTCTATGGATTAGCTTTAAATTATGAGGAAAGAGATGAAATCTAGAAGAGGAATCCATAAAGAAATAGAATTTAAAATATTATCGCCTTGTAGAATTCCCTTCTATCCCCTTTCCCCAGTCTCAGCATATAGGATCAAAGATGAGCTGCCTATGGGCTTGCATTTGCAAAAATTAAAAATTACTATGGCCCAGGAATGAAGGTGAACATCGAAAAGTGTAGATGAGAGAGGACGGGGTCTGATCTTTGGTTGAAGTAAGTCTGCCTGATGAAGAAGAGGGGAGGGAGATGCAGTAATTGCGTTGCACTTATTATGTGATTTTTCTTTTAGAGATGAGTAAAAATAAACAATCTTGTGGATAAATTTGTTTCTCACAATGAAGAGAGGACTATAGCAAAGTAGGAGAGAAGAAAGATCTTTGGATTCAACAAGTAGTGGCCTGGACACCACAGCATATAGCTGAAGACCTGATGTTACTGGAAAGTGTGCCATGTTAACAGTGCCCTGAGAAGTATCTTTTCTAAGGGAAAAATGCAAAATACTGACATATTACATGTGAATGGTAAAAGAGGAGGCTAATGTATTGCTCCTCTGGTCCTCTTTAAAATAATAACCTCAAAATACAGTGTCAGTTCATGTTAATGAACCCTACCATCAAAGGATAGGATTTTTAAAGACCGTATTTCAGATTTAAGAACACTTCTTACTGGGAATGAAACCATCAATAATAAATATAAACCATCAATAATAAAAGATACTATTATTTTAAACTAAAGTTTGGGGAGAAATCTAATTGCACATTAACTTATCACTGGCACATCCTCTGTAGGTATGAGACAATATTGTACATTTTTCTTCCCCACGGCTTTCCACATTATATGGACTTACTACATGTCTTGTTATATCTGGAGGGAGGTTAATGTAAAATCATACCCTAGTTTGGATTGTACATCTTACTCTGGTAACCCACAGTTGGCTGTTTACAACTTTTGTCACTATGAACATACATAGAGAACTTCCAGAGTTAGAGTCTCAAGAGTAAGATAAGATTCAAGTGAAATATGATGAATTGAGTTCAAAATGAACTCTGAATGATCCTGAACTCATAAATTAAAAGAAACATCTGTTAGGCTCTTTTTAATTTATACTATTTTCTCAAAGAAGCAGGTAAAGACACACTGACCCGGCAAAGCGATTTTTCCGATGTTCTTAAATAATTAAGACTACTGAAAAGAAATAGGGAGTGATGTTGGCTCTTCACCGCTTGACCGAGCACACACAGTGACTTTTTTCTTTAGTGTCGTACAAGCTGCTATCATTATCTGTAAGATTCAACTGGTAAGATAAGACTTTTCAGTAGTGTCACCATTAATCTGAAAAGGACTTTCTTTTTTTCTTTGGCATTCATTCATGCACTCATTCAACATACATTAATTGAGCATTCGAAGTGCAACATTGGGTGTTGTTGGATAGGATGATGAGAAAAATCTTGGCCTATCACATTATCTTGTCTTCCCCACAGTCATTTTGTTCCAGCATGTCCTCATCTCCTCATGCCTCAATTTCTTCAAAACCTTCCTACTTAGTTCTCCTGACACCCGGGTCCCACCTTGTTCAAGCTATATTGCCCTCAGCAGTATAAAGAGTTACCTTGATCAAGAGTGCCCCGTTGTCCATATTGACAGGACCACCACCAGCAATAACAATAAGGGTAATTAATAGATGCTATTCTCTGATCCGTTGACTTTGTACACTTTTACCATCTCATTTAATCCTCATTGTGACCGTGAAAGGCAAAAATAACATTTTTATCTCAGTTGTATCCACAGTTTCTTACTACTAGGCCATATGTGCCCGTCGAGCCCTGCATAGGTTCGCAAATGCTTGAATTAGATTGCACACTCACTCTCCTCTCCTGTTCCACATGAGTTTCTGCAGGATCCTTGCTTCTTATCACGGCAACTGCCAAAAACCTGATTTCACATAGATAAGTCTTAAAAAGGAATGTGGTGTGATCGAATGTTGAAACTGTGAACTATCTTAAGGTCCGGCAGTGTTTAACAGATGCTGAGTATCACTGTGTTTCCCTTTGAGCAATTAAAATACTCTGCCATTGCCCTGTGAGTTTGCTGTGACTTTTCAAGATGCCTCTGTGCACACTTGGGGAAATTTGGTCCTATGTAGAAATGATCCCTTTTCAACGTTGCCTTTCTATACTGCTGGTTTGGTATGGAACACATTGTGTTTCACATATGAATTGTGTGCACAGGTCTTATGTCTGCTCCTGGGTCATCTGCTCTGTGAAGTTCGAAGACATACCCTGGCACAGAAGCTGGCACATCTTACTTATAGAAAAAGCTCAACAGTAGTTTATCGAATGAGGGGATTAAAAAAATTACACTGTGTCTTTATGTAATTGCTTTTCAGTTATCTGAGATGCCCTTAATCATACCCCATTGAAATTTAAATACATTTTTTGAACAAAGTGTACAGTAGAGAAGTGTTGCTGTCTAATTGATAGCATGCAGGAAACCAGGTTTTGAATAAGCAAGAGATGACTGTGAAGGGGGCACAGCCTTTCCTATTACTTGTAGTTTACCTACTCTTTTTGGAGTGGCATGTCCGCGAGTTACTGTGTTCAAACACATTACATTCTGATTACCGAAAAAAGGAAAATAATGGTGACGAATACAGTGTAGGCAAGTGTTTCCTGATGCTGTTAACGTGCTATAATGACCATACCATCAATAATGATATTATCAATGACAGAAGAAAGAGGACTATTGGTAGAAATTATACTTTGAAAGGAAGTACTTAAGAGTAACTCAAATTATGTTCTCTTTCAAGTATCTGTAATATTAGTTCTTACAAAACTCTCTGAGGAAGTATGGAATGGTTCCTATGCATGTGTGTGTGTTTGTTTCCTTTCTTTCACTCTTTTTCTCTCTTTCTTAAAGATTTTATTTTATTTTTTTTAAAGTAATCTCTACACCCAACATGAGGCTTGAACTCACAACTCCAAGACCAAAAGTCTGTATGCTCTACCGACTGAGCCAGCCAGGTACCTCAATCTCTCTCTCTCTCTCTTATTTTTAAAGGCTGGGAGATAGACTCCAAATTGCTTTCTGCCCCCAAAAGTAAATATGCTTCTATTCAGTCAGTCAAATTTAGGTCCAGTATTATTCAAGAGAATCAATAAGTAACTATTTGTGAAATTTTCTTTCAGTGAGTTAAAAAGCTGACAGTTACTAGCAAAACACACATATACTGAGCCATGTGTCTATTAAAACTAATGTGGTAAAAACTAAATAGGGAGAGGGGATGAAGAATACAACTAATTTGGGGGAATGTCGGGCTAGTTCCCAAGATTATTCTCTTCTTTTGGTGTCTATTTCCCCTGACTGACTGGAATTTCAGTCCTATCACTAGTGACAGAGGATCATTGCAGTAAATTAATTCACTTTCAGATGAAACAGACTTCAAAGCATGAAGCCAGCCCTGGGCACAGAGGAACCCTTAGTTACCTGCTGTTTCTCTGTCAGCTGAGGTCAGCTCTCCGTTGATTCCATTCTCTTTGGTATCTGAATAGGTGCTCTGTGACCCATGTTCTCCAAAGGCGCCCTCTTCATCCTCCCTGTATGGGAATCCATTGGCGCTTCTGACAAGTCCTTCCCCTGCCCCTCCTTGGTCCTTAATCTCAGGTGGATGTGGGTGTGCCGATGCCTCTGTTAGTTGAGCGGAGGTCCAGTGAGGCGCCTTTGCTTCATCTTTCCGATCATCTGCCATTCTTCCACGCCCTGCGACCTCTCCTGAGATTGGAATCAGAAAAACAGTCGCCATCACTTTGGGAAAATCTGATCTGATATGATATGACTATTCCTAAGACAGGGAAAACTTATAGCAAACTCAATGGTTAGCTATGGCCAAAAAAACATGCTTAATAATCCACTGTTAATATTAAGCAAATAGTTATTGTTAATACCTTGTTTTTTTTAACAGATCTTTTCTGGCTTATCTATTCCTTTACTATATGACCACCATCACTTTAATTTACTTTAAACTAGTGTTTAGCATTTAAGGAGATATATATCTTTCATTGACATATGTTATTGACTGTACAGTAGAGTTGAAGAATCCTTCAGGATAGGGGAAACAGCAGTATGAAGACATTGAGTAGAAAAAGGTAAGAAAACAAATAGCTAAGGGGAAATGATGAATTAGGGAAGATCACTCCAAGTACTCTTAAAAACACAACTCTCCCCAAACCCTAGAAAAGGCGTTGTCTAATGTAGTAGTCCTTTCCATTTCAAAGGTGTTCAATTCAAACCAGAGGTAGATATGTTTTCCTGAATACTGTATATTAAAAGAGAGTTTTGACTTAATTTTTTAGCAAATTTTCCTAAACCTTATCTACAGATTAAGAGTATATATAGATGTACTAAGATTTTCTCTTAGTATAAATCTTATATAGAGAAAGAATAAAAAATACAGTATTAGGCCCACATCCTACCTTATAATGTTATTTCACAGGTAAGTCAAATCAGATCTGGAGAAGTTGAATCACTGACATATATCAGGTAGCTATAAATTATAGTAAAGTTTGAATAAGTCATGGAATGGGTTTTCTCCACATGTTAAGTGAGTGGTAGATATTGCATAGCCTTCATTTCCACGCTAATGCCACTAGGTTTAGAGATATAGTCAAGAAAAGGTGTTTCATCACTCAGTTCTAGAAAGCTGTTGCCGGCAAGGTAGACTCATGGATGGCCTATTGTCTCCACACTGCCGATAATGACATAGGCAATGACTGTCTCTGAGGGAAACTAAGAACACTTTCCTGTTTTCAAAAACAGTAACAAGTAAAAAACTCCAAAGAAGCAAACAAGATTGTATTAAAATAAATCTACTTTCTGTTACTAAGCTCTGTTTAGAGACATCACAAATAAATTAAGCTACATAGAAAGTAAGTTTTCCTACCAGATTCCTAACAAGTATTTGTCTTTTTTTTTTTAAACTTAATTTCAATGCTTTCTTCAGGTTCTAATTGTAGTTTTCTATTCATTCCAGGAGAGCTGGATGAGTTAACTCATTTAAACTAATTTGACCACAATACTAAACCTCCCCTCAAATTCCTTCCCATAAGGGTTCTCTTTATTGTTCCTAAGAACATATTTTAAAAGGATAGAAGAAGTTTAGTATTTATTTATTTATTTTACTTACTTAATTAATTAATTTATATGATTTCATTTATTTATTTGAGAGCAAGAGAGAGACAGAGAGAGTACAAAGTGAGGGAGAAAAAGCATGAGCATGGGGAGGTACAGAGAGAGAAGCAGACTTCCCATTGAGTAGAGAGCCTGACTCATCCAAAGATGCTGGATCATGACCTGAGCCTAAGGCAGGCACTTAATGCACAAAGCCTTCCAGATGCCCCAGAAGCCTAGCTTTTGAAACATTGATTAAAGGACTTGTGAATAAGCCAAGGAGCATCCTTACATTACTAACAATGTGCAATGAACTGGATCCACAGAAGGGTTTCCTCATCTGTAAAGTGAGGACAACAATGTCCAGTTTATTGTTTGTTATAAAAGGTGAACAGAAAAATATAAAGGGCTCCGCACAGTCCCAGTCATGCTCAATAAATAGTAGTCGTAATCTTTGTTATTGTTATTAGAATGATACTACCAATCAAACCAGAAATCATTATACATAAAATATTTTAAGTAGTTTTCTGGAATTATTACTATAGGAACCAGATGCTGAAAACATGATGAGTACAACCAGAGTTACTTGCAAATGTCTACAGATATTATTTAGAACTGAAAGAATGTTCCAAGGCAGACATGGCAAATGTCTAAGATGCAGAAGCCCAATGGCAGGAGTGTACTCTCAGAATTCAGCACTCCATGTATATATCTGAAAACTCTACTCCATCCTTATAAGGATGATTCTGCAATATTCTAGACTGCGGTCTGCCATTGTCTTCCAGTCAAATATCAAAGGACCTCATCCAGAAGTGTGAGGATTAAATTTTTTTCTGAACTGTTGTGGTACCTTCATAAGTCTAATGGATTGAAGAAATACCTGGATTCCAATTGTGACCTTCGTATTCGAGACGCTGGCTCGGCATCCTTATCTTTACATGCTTTGGTTTCCTTTCCCAAAATAACTCAATTAAAATTTCCATATTCTTACACTGTCCAGTCTATTTTGCATGCTGAATGAATACTTGTAAATAGGAAGATTCCCCAAAAGAAGTATATGCCTCGTTAATACCACTTTAAAAAATTTAATGGGTTTTCATTTTAGAACACTTCAAGATCTACAGAAATACTAAGCAGATACAGTACAAAGAGTTTCTATGCACCCCTGTATACAATTTCCTGTTACTAAAATCTTACCTCTGTATGGTACTTTAGTTATAATTATAAAATATTAACTGAAGTCCCTAGTTTACTGGGATTACCTTAATTTTTGCAATTTCCTTTTTCTGTTAGAATCCCATCCTGCAAACATTAACATTTCTTTTCTTTTCACGTCTCTTTAGTTTTCCCTTGGCTGTGAGAATTTCTCAGATTTTGCTTATTTTTGATGACTTTGAAAAATACTGGTCATGTATAGATAGAATAATTCCTCTATTGAAATGTGTCTGATGTAATTTCATGATTAGTTTTGGGATGCGTTTTGGGGGGAAGATTGTCAGTGCTTACATGTGCAAATAAGCTTGAGAAACGCTGAGTCATAGGGGTGTGTATAACTTGATCTTTCAGAGAGCTTTTGATATGCTACTGGAATTTTGGAATCTCAGGGAGGGCCAGTGATGTCCAAAGCATTCCAACCAATTAGCCATAGAAAACTTTTTCTGATGCCGTGTTTATTAACATGTTCAAAAGGATTTGGGAAATGCTTAGGTTTGGATTTTAGCCTTTGTTTAATGCTGAGAGTATCCTAGCCACAGATCTTCAAAGTAAATAAAATAATATAAACACCCAAACTCCCAGTTTAAGTTGGCAGTTTTTCCCCCAGGGCTCTCTGGAAAAAATCTGTCAGTGACAAAAATTCCTCACCTTGGTCCTAAAAAAACAATGCCTGACTGAGGAAGAGTATCACTTGATTATCATCCACTTAAATGTTAAATGTTAATATTAAATGTTAAATGTTAAAATGTTAAGATACTTTGCTTTCAAGATACCAGGCATTTAAATTGTAAACTCCTTAATGGTAAATGCTTTAGAGTTTTATATTCTTTCTTTTCAATTAATCAATGAAAGGTGATATTTCCAAGAACAAAAAAAAGCTCATTTTGGAAAAAGAAAGAGCTGGGTGGCCATGCTGCTTTAATTAATGTCAGTGGCACAAATACAGTGAATTAATTATCTAAAATGCATCATCTGACTTCCTGATAAGACTATTCAGATAATACATGGTAAAATGCTCGCAGATTAATCAGACATCACTTTCTTATTTGTTGGGTATTAGACATGTACAAAGTCTAACCATCTACTAAGTGACAATATTTGAGGAGATTTTAAACTATAATCAGCATTGCTCTGACAAAACGACTTTGACAGAAAATGTGATTTGGAAAGATTTTCATCTGCTGTACTGAAAAGCTGCTGGAATCAAAGGAGACACTCTTCGGCCACACTCTCTTACAATCACAATGTGGTATTATTAAAATACTACCCACTCATAGTAAATTTCACTTAAATCCCTAATCCATGTTTTGGGGTCATAGATGATCTCCACTCTTCACAGTGGTATTACAACATAGTTACAGGAGATCACAGCGTCTTTTAATTTCTTCCTCCTGATGTATTACGTTTATCTGACGCTCCCCCAAAACTGTGAATATAGTATTAAAGAAGATAAGAAAGCTGAGATAAACTCCAATCCCCTCCAAATCTATAAAAGGAAAGTTGTGAGGTACCAGGAATTGTGATATTCCATTCCTCTCGTATAATGAGAAAGACTCTTCTCTTTCCATATAAAGATCACAGATCCTAACTGCTCCTAACAGCTGAACAGCTGGGGGGGGGGAGGGGAATCTACCACACAATCACCTGGTTTGATTATTAAACTGAAAAGCTGCCTTAATCCTTCCCCCTACCTCCCTTCCAAAAATGTAGTTTGAGAATGTGGGCAAGGGAATTATTAAGTTGAATAGAAACGTACTAAGTCCGAGACATTGATTTCCAATGGGAATCTTACCTGGTAGAGCTAAACGCAAATGCCAGTATTAATGGGGATACAGCTACCTGTAATATGGATTTTTAACAAAGAGATCCAAGAGGTTCAAATTTCTCATTATATCAGTATGAGATACTCGCGTGACTTATCATATCATTGCTCTTAAACGACATATTGCAAGGCCCCAGTATTCATTTCAATTAAGATACACAGTTGGAAAGAAAGTTGGGAAAAAATCTTGTGCCACCAAAAATGTCAGTCATGGACTTGAGTGGTAAGCTTCAATCTTTGCTACCCTTCTTTTTAAAGATTTTATTTATTCATCTTATATGAGAGAGAGAGAGAGTGTGTGGGCAGGGGGAGGAGCAGAGAGGGAGAAGAGAGAATATCAAGCAGCCTCAGTGCAGAGCACAGAGAGCATGTGAAACTTGATCCCCGAACCCAGAAATCACCACCCTAGCTGAAACGAGGAGTTTAACTGACAGAGCCACCCAGATGTCCCCTAACCTTTTTAATACAACCACTTCCTCTTGATATTTGAAAGTTCTCTAAGAACAGATTTATTTCTTCTTTCATCAAAATTCCACCTTTTAAAATTCCAGTTCTTAAAATCCTAGCT